TGAGGGGGACAGGGAGAGGGTGCGGTAGATTCAACGCAAGCTTACTTTCACTACTTTTCGTGCAAGACAGCGCGATTGCTTCCAGCTTCCACTTTGAAGCAGGCGGTGCACATCGACGGCCAGACTGTCATGCGTCGCATGCGCAGACGTGTTGGCTAGCTCTGTCAGCATGTTCACCCAAGCTCTTCATCGGGTAAGCGACCGGCCCAAGTAGTGGTTGCGCTTTCCTGATAGAGAGAAGAGAGGGTATGAGGTCGATTCTTGGAACTCCATCCTCAGAGCACTTTGTGAATATTGAGAAGAAGCGTATGTATTTGCTGAGGCAAGAACTTTATTCGCCTGACGTTTCGGAATGCGTCACGGAGAAAATTAAGTGCGTAGGTCTTAGGCCAAGTGAGTTGATGGTATTTTTATGGTGGCACGTCTCCTTTTACCTCTATACCCCAGGATCTCTCAGGCGTGACCGTCGAACTACTCCTACTAAGTAAATACTCTGAGACTGATGCTGGTCTCATACACGCTCAAACCCTGCAGCTCCTGAAGTTCTGTCTCAGGACGTACTTCACTTTGAAAGGAAGCATCTATGAGCAGGTGAAGGGAACACCAATAAGTTCGCCGATTTTTGGACTCATAGCTGAGGTAGTCCTACAACAGCACAGATCGAAATTCAGGGCGTGGTATGTGGATGATACCTTCGTTGTTATCGAACGGGATAAGGTACATACACTCAAAGAACGCCTCAACAGCGTCAATTCGGGCATACAATTTACGACGGAGGTGGAAGAAAACACCGAACTGGCCTTCCTTGATGTCCTCCTCTGCCACAATGATTGTGATGACCGATTCCAAATGTTGGCGAGCGATTCCGTACGTAAAAACCTCTCGGAGGCCGTCGGCCGCCTTCTCGCACCACTTGAAGTTGAAATCGCACACGGGACGGATGCAACGATAAGGCATCTGATAATGAAACCAAAAGACCCACAGCCACGACAAGAAACAACTGGAGTCGCTACAGGATGTAATGCAGTTGCGGACAAAGCAACTACGTCCGAGAAACTGGAAGATTTATCAAGACGCAAAATGCCGAACACGCAGCAGCAGTGTGGCGACATGATATCGATTCGCAAGCTGCGACTCATTCGGCGAGGCCCGGACGCACATTCACATTTGATGAGGCCGAAATTCTCGTGAGAAGTGACAACCGTGGGA